TCTCTCTCTCTCTCTCTCTCTCTCTCTCTCTCTCTCTCTCTCTCTCTGTCTGTGTGTGTGTGTGTGTGTGTGTGTGTGTGTGTGTGTGTGTGTGTGTTATGAACTTGGTTGTCTGACGATTTTCAGCGCCATTCACACACAGACACTCTCACACATGCCCATACATGCATAAGATGAAGGGGAGAGGAGACAGAGTCCAGACTGCACACCAGTCAAAATAGGCAGCGGAATACAGCTATGCACAGGTAGGGAGAAGACACACAGTGTATCTCACTCTCTGACAGTACTCCCAACAACCAATCACACAAGAAGAAACCTGCGAGGATAACAATCGGATTCACACTGATGATGAGCCAAATAAAACCAAATATCGTTACAAAGTTTGTTTCAGTCTCTCACCACTTTCAGAACCCCACACTCCATTCTCTAACCTACACCCAGTTAGTAGCGCAACACCGAAATGACCTCCCAGAGGCCAGTGCCAACCACCCAGATGGAGAACAGATCCTGCGATGAAGTCTTCAGTGTCGGTGAACAACTCTGACGAAGAACCGGCAGCTATGGCTGCCGCCACCCACAAACACTCAGTGAAGAGCCTCGATATAGCCTGGCCAGACACAGATCCCCCTAGGGTAGATGCGCTGAGGATGTCCCAACTTTGACCACCCTCAGAAGGCCGGCTATGGCTGTCGTCCACGACAAGAGTCTAAGGATGCCGCCTGTAGACAATTACCACCACCAACTTGCTTGGCTTCTCCAAACGTTGCTTCGCAAGAATGAACAGCCCAAAAAGTCCTGAGTTGAATTCCCTAAACTATTCATAGATCTACACTACCCTAGCCTAGACCTAGACCCGACTGACTGGACCGACTGGTACCGTTCCAGTTTCGGCCTCTCGGCCTCTCCCTACCCGGCTATAGGCTATAGGACCGTCTATCAGTATAGGCGTTTCAGGCATGTCCGTCCTAGGGGTAGCCCAGGTCTGCTATTCGCTGTCAGGGTAGCTCTAGGAAATCTGGGTTAGTGTTGGGCCTATATTTCCCATAATTGCAAATATGTCCCTCATGAATTTTCCCACAGGTAGGTCTCTCGGTTAGCCCTCAGCCAAACAAAATTACGAATCTAACCTACTGTTGTACTGTACAGCCTCGCAGTCAATCTCGGCAGCAAAATCAGCAAGTCATTGCAGGCTTACCCCCCCGGGGAGCGAGGACCTCCGAGCTAGGCGGGGAAGGTTACCCTTCTGAGCCGCTTCATACCGCAGAACAATCGACTTTGCTGTCTTGAGGAGTTCCCTTCTGTAAAACCATCTGTTCTCGGTAGGGGGTTGGAAGACGAACCTCACAAGATACTGCCGATCGGGGCTAGTGCCCCACTCATCCTCAATAGATTCTACGTTATATCCCTTACCAAGGATCGGTGGACCAAATTGAGGGGGCCGGTCTGGGAATGCATCAGCTGGGGTGAACGGGAGCAACTTAGATGCATGGAAGACCGGGTAGGTCTGTAGATGCAGCGGAACGTCGATGACATACGACGGGCCAAACGGATCAGCGCCCACTGTATCTAAGACCTGCCATGGACCCAGGTAACGAGGTAACAACTTGGGGGAGATATCCTCCTCCCTCGACAACTCAAAACTGGCTACCCAGACATAGTCACCTGTGCGGATGGGGGAAGGCTGCCTATGGCGATTAGCTTGTTCAATCATCGCCTTTTGGGCTTTGAACAAGTTCGCCTGTGCTCTTTCCACATCTATGTGATAGCGTCTGGCAAACTCTGTGGTGCCTGGTGTAAGGTCAGACTTAGCCTTATCGATGATATCATCGAGAGGTTGTCGTGGTTCATGTCCCCAGTGCAACCGATATGGACTGAACCCAGTCGAGGAGTGGACAGACATGTTATACACAAGCTGTGCTCGAGCCAAGTGGAGATCCCAGTCCTGCTGATCCAGAGAGATGACAGGACGCAGCAATTGGAATAAGACTTGGTTCATCACTTCAGCCTGACCATTGGCTTCAGGATGATGACCAGAAGTCATGTCCAATCGTGAGTGCAAGTAGTCCTTGCAGTAGGACTGCCACTCATTGCTGCAAAACTGGGGGTCTCTATCACTGACTATAGAAGTGGGCGGTCCATGGTGAGTGACCCACCTCTCTGAGAAGGCTGCTCTCACAGCGGGGACCCTAGCTACTTCTGGCAAGGGGATGAACTCTGCGTATTTGGAGAACCTGCCCACGCAAACCATAACCCGGCGCATGCCACGAGGGGTGGTCTTGCCTAAATCTGTGAAATCAATCGACACAGATTCAGCAGGGCCATCAGGTATGGGTAAGGGTTGAGTAGTCCCAGAGGAGGTCTACGCTGGACTTTATTCCTCTGGCAAAGCTCACAGGTTTCCACATATCGCAACATATCACTCTGCATCTCCTTCCAGAAGAAGCGCTGCAACAGGGCTGCATAGGACTTTAAGAACCCAAAATGTCCATGTGCATCATGACACTCTGACATCAGCAGTGTCCTGAGCCGCTGATCCTGGGGAACGCACAAGCGTTCCTCACCTCTGCTGTAGGTATATAGCAAGTCTGAACTCAGGGCATAGCCGGGTTCAGAATTGGGATCCGCTTGCAGATTCCTGACTATGGGTCCATAAGTCGGGTCCTGAGGCAGAAGATGAGCAATGGTCTGACGGGTCTCCTCTCCAAAGGAGTGAGTAGAGGAGACGAGTGCAAAAGAGTCAGGCCTACGAGAGAGGGCATCTGCTACCTTATTGTAGCAGCCCTTCTTGTGCTTCAGTTTAAAGTCAAACATGTCGATGAACTGAATGTAACGTGCCAACTTGTCATTTAACTCTCCCTGGGACTTCATCCACTGTAAGGTGGAGCGACCAGAGAAGATCTTGAAGTGTCTTCCCAGGAGAAAGTGTTTCTAAGGTTTCAAGGCACAAACAAGAGCATATAACTCGTTCTCGTAGGTAGAGTCTTGAAGCTTCTGAGTTTTGATCTTCTTACTCATAAACTCTACAGCCCGTAGACCATTCCCATCATCTTGCTGAAGAACTGCCCCAATGCCATACTGACTCGCGTCAGTGGTCAGGATGAATGGCAAAGTGGGGTCAGGCAACTTCAGCACTGGTGCACGAGTCAAGGCCTTCTTGAGTTGTGTGAAGGCCAACTGACAGGGAAGGGACCAAACAAAAGGAGTGTTTTTCTTTGTTAGGTTGGTCAGGGGTGCAGCCACTGCACAAAAGTTCCTGACAAACTTTTTGTAGTATGAGGCTAAACCCATGAAGGACCTGACATCCCTCACTGTCTGTGGTTGTGGCCACTCTTGAATAGCAACTATCTTGGCTGCTTCAGAAGCTAGGCCATCTCCAGAGATTACATGACCCAGATAGATGACAGAGGGAACTCCAAAGGAGGACTTCTCTCTGTTAATCTTATACTGGTTGTCACGTAATGACTGAAGGACTAGAGCCAAGTGCTCCGCCTGTTCCTTGACAGTTCGGCTGAATACCACGATGTCATCTCGGTAGACAACCATGAACTTGTCTAGGTAAGGCATGAAGATGCGGTGCATCTCAGTCTGGAAGGTACCTGGGGCATTGCAAAGTCCAAACGGCATGACCAGAAACTCTTAAGTTCCATATCTGGTCTTGAAGGCTGTCTTGTAGACATCCTCGTCTGCCATCTCAATCTGGTGGTATCCAGATTTGAGGTCGACTTTGCTGAACATTGTGCAACCCTGCACCATATCCAGAAGGTCATCGATCCAGGGAAGACGCTCTGTACTTTTCCTAGTGATCTTGTTGAGACCCCTGTAGTCGATGCACATTCTGAATTTTCCATTCCCTTTCGGGACGATGAGGACTGGTGCCCCAAATTCAGAGGTGCTCGGCCGTATCCAGCCTTTGCTGGTCAGGGTCTCTAGCTGTCTTCTGAGCTTCTCAAGCTCAGCAGGGGACATCCTGTAGATGCGGCCCTTGGGAGGGACCGCTCCAGGTAGCAGCTCAATGTGATGCTTGGTTGGCCGGTTGGGTAATCCAAAGGGCTCCTGCATCAGGAGGACAGGAAACAGGTGGAGCGTCTGTTTGCTTGACCAGAGCTAAAAACAGACGCTCATGGTCATACTGGCACGAGAGAGAATAGAACTCCCTTGCTCTCAAACAGTAGCAGTTGGTTTTAGGGTGGTGTTCAGCAGCAATCCTGCAAGTCTGATACACCCCCTGTCCATTGGGGAGCTCAACCTTAGGGATCTGCCAGTCGATCCTAGGGTTGACTGCCCATAGCCACTACATTGAGAACACCAGATCAAAGGAAAAGTTAGGGAATATGTAGAAGTTCAGACTGTGTCTGACTTCTCCAGCACTGTCGAAGGTGACAGGGATACCCCTGACCTTCTCCCTGATCGTGAGAACAGTGGAGTCACCTATTCTGACCAGCAGCGGTGGCTGCAGCTGCTGAACTTCCATGCCCAGATGCAGTTTCTTGACGACACTGGGAGACATGGCAATTCGATTACTTTCTTCCAAGTTACAATCAATTTGGGTAAGGTCCCCTTTAACATGTGAAAGCACACGATGGATATGTCAAATGTGCTATGGGTGGTCTATTGGCTATCGAAATTTAATTGAAGTTGGTGAAGCAGTAGGCATAATTGCTGCACAATCCATTGGAGAACCTGGAACTCAATTAACTCTCCGAACTTTTCATACTGGAGGTGTTTTTACTGGTGATATAGCTCAACAAATCAGATCGCCATTAAATGGAATTATTCAATTCCAAGTTGTATATTTTTTGCTTTTCCCTTTTCTTAATTTTTCAATTTTTTGTAAATTAATCAATTGTTGTAATATTGTTTCTTCAGATCCAGTTCCTGCTGGAATCAATCTTCCTAAAATGACATTTTCTTTAAGTCCTTTTAACCAATCAGTCCTTCCCTTAATTGCAGCCTTAGTTAATACACGAGTTGTTTCTTGGCAGAGTATCTGCATGGTTAAGTAAATGGAATATAGTGCATAAACCGCTAGGGTTTGATTACCAAGGAGTAGAAGTAATTGAAATAAAACCCCAAAATTGGGCTTCTGTAGCAGTTATACTCTATATATACGGTTTTAATTATTTACGATTACAATGTGCTTATGATTTATCTCCAGGAGGTATGTTAGCTAGTGTGTATTATCTTACTAAACTAGAAGAAAAAGCAGATCAGCCTCAAGAAATATGTATTAAAGTACTAGTACCAAGATTGCATGCAAAATTAGCTTCAGTATTTTGGGTTTGGAAAACTGCTAACTTTGGTGGCTCCACAATCCAACAGCCCCTTGATGCTGATGTTGTTGATCAGGAGCCGAAGTAGGATGAGATCAGACTTGCTTTTCTTCTGTTCCTTCAGATGAAGGATGAAAGCAGCAAGTGACTGAAGCTCATCCTGCCCCGGGTCCTGATCTGGGTCAGGATCCTCATAACAGAAGGATGCTGCCCGTGCAGTCCCCAAACTCATGGACTCTGTCTCAACTGAATCAACTGCAGATTCACCTACCTCAGCAGATGAAGGTGCAACACTGGGGGGAACTGCAGTCCCCAGGGTCTGCTTCAGTTTTTTGACTGACCCGGGTCTGGCATGTAAGGGAAGTCCTTTAGAAAGTGTTGTCCCTCACATCTCAGGCAGACCCCTCTCTCCTTTCTTCTTCTCCACACTCCCTCCTGGATCTTGAGGTCATGCCAGGGGAGAGTGGAGGGATTGAGCGGGTCAGCTGGCAGACGTCCTTTGGCAGGTTAGGGCGCTGGAGGTAGAAGGACTACGTCCCTTGTCCTTCCCCTTGAAACTGGCTGAGGCTGTACTTGGGGAAAAATTTTTCTGCTGCTGCAGAACTCCCAGAACAGCCTGAGTCAGGGCCGCTGCAACATCTGTCTTAGCAGCTGATCCAGTCCCAACTGATGGTGTATCAGCCTGGGAGTCTGAATCAGAAGCTGATGCAGACCCTGCATGTGCAAAGGCCGCTTTTCCCTTTCTACCACCACGAGGGAAAACTCCTTTCCTCCTATCAGAGGAGGGGGCCTGGACATGAAGTTTTGCCTCGATGTCCAGGGCTGCACGGCCAAAGTATCTCCAATCCTTATGCCCTGCGCTATACAATGCAACAACAAACTTCTTAGGCGCTGCCCTGCAGAAGTTGGTTAGCAGATCATCAGTTGACATGACCAACCCAGGGGTAGAGGTAAGTTGCTCGAACTCTGCAAACAGGGATTGCATGGTGCCGCTGTAGCGCTGCTGCGCCAAGCGAGCAATCTTGTCAGCAGCTTTGCGGGCCCGCTCCTTGTCTGCAAAGCGGTCTTCTAGGGCCTGCAGAAGTTTGTCCACCCCCAGCCCAAAAGCCCAGTCCTCCATAGACTGCTGTTGACTGCTGGAAGTTGAGGTGGCCCACTTCAGAGCGGGTCCCTCCAGGAGTCCCAAAATCGTTGCCACCTTGGTCTGTTCTGCACAGACAAAGCCCCTCAAGTAGGCTTTGGTCCCAGCAGCCCAGTCCCCAACATCGGTCTTTGGGTCATCCCCTCTGAACTTGTTGGGAGCTGGGATCTTGGGCCCCCTTTGATCTCCTGCAGCAACAGACGCATAGGATGGCTGGGCTGTAGCTTTTTGGGAGTGAGGTGGTGAAGGGGAAGAGTGGCGTGATCCAAAGGGCGACGAGGAAGGAGAAGGTAAAGGTTTCACTGAGGGGACAGGAGACAGGGGAACAATCAGCTTGGCTGTTGTCAGCTGAGCAGTCAAATTCTGAATTGCACTCAGTATCTTTGACTGCTGAGCTGCCAGATCATCCACTCTGCTCTCCAGACGAGCTATGCGGTCATCCCAGTTAGTGAAGTAAGAACTGGTGGATTTGTGTTCCAAAATGGCCCACTCCGCCAAGTTCTTAGTCCCCTGGGGACAACGCTCATCTGACACAACCTTGCCTAGCTGCTCCAACAGATACTCATTGCGTGAAGCATCTGTTGCAGCCTCTTGCTCAGCTGCCTCCTGCCTCTCCAATTCTGCAAGCAGGGTCTGCTCTTGCTGCAGTCTTTCCTGCAATTCCTTCTTCTTTTGCTGAGTACCAGTCAAAGGTGTTTCAGGGGTGGAGGTGGAAGGTTGTTGTTCTTCTACCTTCATCACTACTTCCACTTGTGGCTGCTGCTGAGCACCCTGGTTCGCCATTTTCCACTTTCAAAAGCGAAATATTAGACAAACAGCAATGAGTATGCAGCGATATGCTGATTCCTCCAGACACTCAGGAATTGCTGCTATCTCATACACAGAAGTCAGGTGGGTGAACAGGCAACAAGCGATTTGGGTTGGAACAGTGTCTCTGGGGTCAGAGGTCAGACAGACAGTTAGTCCAGCAAAATCAATCACACGATTTCCTTTTACTGACCCTGCACCACACTGGAGTTAGTAAACTCAACCCCAACAATCCCAAAAGATACCCTAAATTTCTAGAGCCCACTAGAAAACAAGAGTAGTCAGTGAGAATGAAAGAAGATGGCAAGTACAGACTAAAATGATCAAACCAACAGAGCGATTCAGTCAGAGACCCTACATCCTAGCCCAGACTCCAATTTCGGCCCTGATGACTCTGGCGGCCATACCCTTGGGTATGGCGAAGTATAGTATTCACTGTATCTAGTGAAATACTAGAAATCCAAGTCAGCGCTTCTGCATTACTAACAATTTTGAATTGCGATTGACTGACAACTGACAGAATTGAATTCTGACGGACAAAATTGAAGTTGTGACTGACCCTAGTTAGCACAGGCTATAATTAGACTCAGCGCAAAACTATAATTCACTGTATCTTTACTATTCCACTACAGAATTCACCGTCTGAGCATCCAACATCAAGTGCAATATAGTCAGGCAGTCCCAGAACAACTTTGGATGAAAAAAAGTCAACAGAGGGTAAGAAATGAGCAAAAGGAGGTAGGGGAGTGATGGCTATGGCTGTCATGTAGTCTGCGGTTTTCAATTCCAGTCATTGACAGATAGATAGACCATCAATACTAATTATCCTAACCCTATCTGAATCGCTATACAGGGGTGTGCATGGAACGGACTCACTTCTAGAGTTTCTTGCAGAGTTTGCTGAAGATCTGGCTATGGCAGGGTGAAACCCTCATCTTGCCAATTTCTTCCAGAAATTCCTCCTCTGTCTTCCACGCACAAAATCTCTCCAAACTTGTTGATCTTCTTCAGGATCCTGATGCGCTGCTACCTCTCTAGTCAGATACACCAGATCTGACCCTGTGGCGCCCAGAGTGCCAACACAGAATTATCTCGCCACAGGACCCCACAACCGTTGATGTTATAAATAGCCTCAGATGAGGTTAATTTTTCACCTGAGATTGACACAGACTGTCAATCTCCCTCAGCACTGCTCAGGGATGAAGCCGCTCAGAGGATTCTGAAGTCCTCAGGGGAAATTCGCCACTCTGAGGCAATTCGCAATACTGCCCTCAGGGTTGGCTATGGCGAATTAGCCCTGTTCTCGCCACTTCCTTGCAAGCGCCATGACAGGCTTAGTGCGCTTGTCCAGTGCAACCACCGAACTCCTGAATTCACCGCTTGAAATCTTCTTCCCTGCTGTCTCATTACTGGAGAAGATGAATCACCATGAAGCTTCTCACCAGTAGATCGCCAGATGAAGAGGATGCCTCTATTGCACTCAACCCTCAGTGCTCCCATTCCGATCCCGCTCCGATACCAACTGTTATGAACTTGGTTGTCTGACGATTTTCAGCGCCACTCACACACATACACTCTCACACATGCCCATACATGCATAAGACGAAGGCGAGAGGAGACAGAGTCCAGACTGCACACCGGTCAAAATAGGCAGCGTAATACAGCTATGCACAGGTGGGGAGAAGACACACAATGTATCTCACTCTCTGACAGTACTCCCAACAACCAATCACAAGAAGAAACCTGCGAGGATAACAATCGGATTCACATTGATGATGAGCCAAATAAAACCAAATATCGTTACAGAGTTCGCCACTTTCAGAACCCCACACTCCACTCTCTACCCTACACCCAGTTAGTAGCGCAACACCGAAATGGCCTCCCAGAGGCCAGCGCCAACCACCCAGATGGAGAACAGTCCTGCGATGAAGTCTTCAGTGCCGGTGAACAACTCTGACGAAGAACCAGGCAGCTATGGCTGCCGCCACCCACAAACACTCAGTGAAGAGCCTCGATATAGCCTGGCCAGACGCAGATCCCCCTAGGGTAGATGCATTGAGGATGTCCCAGCTCTGACCACCCTCAGAAGGCCGGCTATGGTTGTCGTCCACGGCAAGGGTCTCAGGATGCCGCCTATAGACAATTACCACCACCAACTTGCTTGGCTTCTCCAAACGCTGCTTAGCAAGAATGAACAGCCCAAAAAGTCCTGAGTCGAATTCCCTAAACTATTCATAGATCTACACTACCCTAGCCTAGACCTAGACCCGACTGACTGGACCGACCGGTACCGTTCCAGTTTCGGCCTCTCGGCCTTTCCCTACCCGGCTATAGGCTATAGGACCGTCTATCGGTATAGGCCTTTCAGGCCTGTCCGTCCTAGGGGTAGCCCGGGTCTGCTATTCGCAGTCAGGGTAGCTGTAGGAAATCAGGGTTAGTGCTGGGCCTATATTTCCCATAATTGCAAATATGTCCCTCATGAATTTTCCCACAGGTAGGTCTCTCGGTTAGCCCTCAGCCAAACAAAATTACGAATCTAACCTACTGCTGTACTGTACAGCCTCGCAGTCAATCTCGGCAGCAAAATCAGCAAGTCATTGCACTCTCTCTCTCTCTCTCTTTCTCTCTCTCTCTCTCTCTCTCTCTGAGTGTATATTTCCATATTCTGGCGGTAGATTCGTTCGATTTTGCTCATCCTATCGATGGAAGCACCGCCCCCCCATTCTCTCTCTCTCTCACAGACACACACACACGGGCGGCGCGAGTGTCGGCAGACTCCTCTTCGCCCCGCGCACACGCACACACACACACTCAGACCGAGTGTATTTTTGCATGTTCTAACGGTAGATTTCTTAGATTTTGCTCATCTTATCGATGGAAGTACCCTCTCTCTCTCTCTCTCACACACACACACACACACACACACACACACACACACACACACACACACACGGACACACACACACACACACACACTCTTTCTCTCTCTCTCTCTCTCTCTCACACACACACACACACACACACACACACACACTGTTACATGCCCAATTGGGCGATGTATATACATAGCCAAGGATCCGCAATGTGATAAAAAGGACTGAATGGACAATGCGATGTTAGTGGAATCTCAATAGCCAAGGATCCGCAATGTGATAAAAAGGACTGAATGGACAATGCGATGTTAGTGGAATCTCAACAAGCAATGTACATCCTGATACATACAAAAAATGGCACCTTGTACCACAGTGGCAGACTTAGATAAAAGCCCTGACCTGACCCGGACTGACCTCTCTCACGTAGTACAAGACAGTGCAGCAGAATGCTAGAATACCAATGACCAGCCCAATCAATGCCGCAATGCAGACCAAACATACATCATCCTCATCACAAGGTGTGAAGGGGCCTGGCGCCACATGGGAAGAATGCACCAAGTCCATACCGTACACAGACGAAGAGGAGGGGATCACACAAAGAAGAGGGGGAAGATGGGAATGTCGTCAACACCAAGTCTTCGGTACAAGTCCCAGATAATCACTCATCAAATGTCTGAAGCCCAATTTCGAGTCTGGATCCAAATGTCACCAATCCTGCTCTCCCGTAGTCTGCTGATGCAGTGAAGTCAGGTAGCGAGAGGGTGAGGGGGAGATGGTGGACTGAGAAGAGGAAGAAGAAAAACTCTCTCTCTCTCATATGCCAGGTACTAACCTGTGAAGATGGCGCTGTGCTGCAGGTACCTCGAAGACGAAGCTGGAGCGATGGCGCTGCAGGTACGTCTCCCTGGCCTCCGCCCAATCTCTCTCTCTCTAGTACTACTCTAGCTCCTATGGCGCCCAACGCTGAAGACTACTGCTAACGCTACTAGCGCCCAACGTTGAAGACTACTGCCAACGCTACTAGCGCCCAGCGCTGAAGACTACTGCTAACGCTGCTACTACTCCTGCAGCACTCCTGCAGAGTGCTGCTGCCGAGTCCTGAAGACTACCTCCTGCCTCCTGAACTGCACGTGAAGTGCCTGGGAAGTACCTAGGAACTACCTGCAGCCTGCAGGGCGGGGCAGTCTTATATAGTGCTGGCCCGTCCAGGAGGCTGCTCTAGCCGATGCCAAAACGTGCCAGACCCTGGGGTTGAAGCTCAAATGAAGGTTGTCTTGAAAATAGGCCAAAAATGGCCTGAGCTAAAACCCTGGTCTGGTGCCTGAGTTTCAGGGAAGGTCAATCTTATGAGGGCCTGAAACTGGCCCTCAGTTTCAGGTTGAAAAGACCAGGGCCGAAAGGCCCTGATTTAGGCTGAAATGGCACAGGGCCTGTAGGCCCTTGTTTTCAGGCTTTCAGGCTGAAACGACACAGGGCCTGTAGGCCCTTGTTTTCAGGCTTTTGGGCTGAAAACGACACGGGCCTGAAAATGGCCCGTGCAGCCTGTTGCAGTCGCAGCATGTAACCCCCCCCCTCTCCTTATGAAGTCAAACCGGGTCGAGGGCGAAGCTGATGATCTGAAGGTGGAACCTGGATGCGGGTGCGACGTGGAGCCGAAGATACTGGCTTGCCTTGCATCTGGCGTTCGTAGCGTGCAAGAACATCTGGAGTTGTTGCTTGGAGTTCCGCACGGGTCAACCAACGGTCAGCTTTGTGGGTGCAATACGCAAAGTGTACCGAGTACTCGGTTCGCCTGTTGCCATAGCGTNGCCATAGCGTCGCTGGGAGATGATGTCGCCATAACATCTGGAGCTATTGCTTGGAGTTCCGCACGGGTCAACCAACGGTCAGCTTTGTGGGTGCAGTACGCAAAGTGTGCCAAGTACTCGGTTGGCTTGTTGACGTAGCGTCGCTGGGAGATGATGTCGCCAACCTCCTGAAAACCGTCCATCGAGGGTGGGTCTTGGGATCGTCGCCCGGGGAAGTTGTCATGTTCCTTTGGCGTGTAAAGAGCCAACTTGGAGCAATGAAAGACCGGGTAGACGGGCAAGTGGGCGGGCACCTGAATGGTGAAAGAAGGTTCTTCGGGTGCATCCCCAGCGGATGCCACGATTGGCCAAGGCCCCATCCATTTCGGGAGGAGCTTGCGAGAGATATCTTGTTCGAGGCTGAATTCCGCGGCAGAAACCCAGACAAGGTCGTCGACACTGAATGGACAGGGAAGACGCTGGCGATTGGCTTGTTGGCTCATGCGTTGCTGCGTCTTTGCCATCTGGTCTCGTGCCTTGACAAGGAGCTCTTGCATCCGATGAATGAAGAGAAGATGGTCGTCGCTCTCGGCTGCCCGTGGAATGATTGTGTCCAATGGAGAAGTAACCGACGAGCCGTGCTCGAACTCGAAGGGCGACATCCCGATAGCCGGGTGGATGGACGAGTTGTATGCCAACTCGACATCAAGCAGCTGCTCAACCCAATCCTTTTGGTCGGGACGGATGAGAGTCCGAAGGAGAACCTGTGCGGTCTGAGGCGCCCTCTCCGTTTGGCCATCGGTTTGGGGGTGGCGAGCCGAACTTGGCTTGAGAGATGAGCCCCATCGTTTGATGAGCGCCAACCAAAAATCGGACATGAACCGAGTGTCGCGGTTGCAGACGATTTCCTTGGGGTAACCCTTGGTTCGAATCCAACCGGCGTAAAGAACCTCCCAACCAGCGTAAAGAACCTCAGCGAACTCCAGTGCCTTGGCATGATAGCGGCAAGGCAAAAACATGGCGAACTTGGTGAGTCGGTCGACCACCGTGAGAATCCCATCCACACCAGTCTTGTGCTTGGGGAACGGCCCGGTAATGTCCATGGCAATCGCTTCCCTTCGGCGCAAGGGGACTGGTAATGGTCGCAACTCACCGTACGGATGATGATTGCGGGATTTGCAACGTCTGCAAACCTCGCATGACTCGCAATAGCGTGTGACGTCGTCGAGAAGACCGGGCCACCAAAAGCGCTCGCGGAGTTGGCCAATCGTACGATTGACTCCAAAGTGTCCGGTGGTGGGAGCGTCGTGGAACTCGCCAAGAAGCCATGTGCGCAAGTGTAAATCTCGTGGCACACAAAGAAGATCCTTCCCTCGCGAGTGGATGAGCAAGTACCCCTCTTGGATCCGATAGTGCGATAGCGCCGGATTGGGAGAGGAGCAATTTGTGTACTTGTCGCAAAACTCGGGGTCGACTTGGTAGCCGCGGATGAAGCTGTCCCGCAAGTCGTCGTGAATCTCAAAAGTTGAGTAGACTGTGGTACAATGGTCCGGATGTCGTGAAAGAGAATCCGCAAAACGGTTTGACTTGCCCGAAATGTGGTCGAGGAAAAAGTCAAACTGGTCGATGAAGGCCATCCAACGCGCAATGGTGCTATTGACCGTGTCTTGGGTCTTGTAGAAGACCAATGGATTGTTATCCGTTACCCATCGGAATCGCAGTCGACCGAGAAGAAAATGCCGCCCGTGCTTGAGCGCGTGTACGAAGGCCAATAATTCCTTCTTCCGTGCATCGTCGATCGAGTGCACGGCGGGCAATTTCTTGCTAAAGTACTCGATCGGGTGCCAGTCCACGCCATCATGTTGCTCGAGGACGACACCAATGCCATAGCCAGACGCATCAATAGTGACACGTGTCGGTAGAAGCGGGTCGTAGATGCGCAACACCTCCGCGGATAGCAATGCAGCTTTGAGAGCCAAAAAGGAAGTTCGCGCATTGTCGTCGAAGTCGAATGGCCGGTCCTCGCATTGAAGCTTGGATAAAGGAGCCGCGATCTTCGAGTATCCCTTGATGAAGCGTCGATAGTAGCCGGCTAATCCAAGGAAACAGACATTTGTGATGTTCTTCGGCTCCAGCCACTCTCGGATGGCTTGAATCTTGTCCGACAACGGACTGATGCCCTCCGGTGGGACAAAATGGCCCAAGTATTCCAGCTCTTGCCGGAAAAATTCGCGCTTGTCGCGGTTGGCTTTGTACTTGGCGCGGCGGATCGTCTCCAACACTCGTCGAAGGTGCTCAAGATGATCCTCCAATGTCCGGCTATAGACGGGAATGTCGTCTAAGTAGACTAGTACGAACCGGTCCAACATTGCACGGAACTCGTTGGTCATTGCCGCTTGAAAGGTCGTCAAGGCATTGGTGAGGCCAAAGGGCATAACGATCCACTCAAAATGCCCGTACCGTGTCTTGAACACGGATATGTATCAATCTTGCAGGCGTATCGAGATTTGATGGTAGCCCGACATCAAGTCCAACTTCAAGAAGAATTTTGCGCCGCCCAAGCACTCGAGAAGGTCGTCAATCCGCGGAAGAGGTCCCGCATTCTTGACGGTTTGTGCGTTGAGTTTGCGGTAGTCGATGCACAAGCGAAGATCGTTGTTCTTCTTCCGTACGAAGAGAACTGGCGCACCATATCGTGAGCTACTAGGGCGGATCCAGCCCTTGTCCAACAGATCATCGAGTTGCGCGCGGAGAACCGCGAGCTCTTCCTCGCTCATGCAATAGATGCATCCTTTCGGCGGCACGGCACCGGCCTCAAGAATTATCTCGTGGGAGATCGGTCGATCCGACACCACACTGGTAGGAGACTCGAAGATGTCGGTGAACTCGTCGAGCAGCCGCACCACTCGGGGTTCCGAAGACAAGTCCGTAGGTGAAGATTCAGTCGTCGCGGCGGCTAGTAGAAAACATCGGCCTATCTCGTTGGTCCACTCGTAAGCGCAAGTGGCCCGAAAAGACTTGGTCGTTACAACTTGGCACCGGATCGAGGAGTGCGGAAGACGAATGGTACACGACACCTCGGCGCCGAAGGCATAGCGAACGGTAAGTGTCCACTGATGGAGGTTAACCGTGTGGCATGTGATCCTCACTTGCAAGCCAAGGCATCCCCAAAATATTGTCGAAGTCCATGTCTAAGACGTCAAACGTCACCGGTTCGCATGCATGAGGTGAGAAATAAACCGACACGACTTCAATGTAGCGATCGAGGAGTTGTTGCGTCCGACCGTCCGCCAACTTGATCGTTGTTGGGTTTGGCTTCCTTTGAATTTGTGCACCAAGGCCGGCCCTTTGGATAAAGGACTGGCTGACGAAATTGCGAGTCGCGCCTCTATCCAGCAAAGCGCTACAGGACGCTTGCCCAACTTGGATGCGGACATAAAGGAGCGGTGCGTTGTTATCATCGTACCGCTGGATGCGAAACTCGCAGGCCACCTTGGTAACATACACAAGGATGTCCCCCACCGCAGCTTCGTCATCCATCGACGAAGGTGGTGGTGCATAGAAGGCTAAGTATGTGTGGAGATGGGCGCATAGTGATGCGCATTGCGGTCCTGGCAAGCAGCCTGTGGAAGGGAGAGGAAGCCATGCAAAATCCTCGGACGTCAACGGGTCCAAGACCTCTATGTTGAACTCATGCATCGAATCCCTTGAAGAACTACTTGAAGACGATTCATTGTTGTTCTTGCCGGACGAAGAAGAAGCCGCACACACATCTTGTCCTTGAGCTTGAGAACCCAGCGAAGGAACGAGCCGGGCAGCATAGTCCTCATAAGAATATAAGAGAGGACTGTCGACTTCCGCACGTGCCTCGGAATGAAGAGAGGTTGCTCGCGAGGCAACCGGTTTTGAAGGCGTCGAGAGTGCAGCCTAATCACTCTCGGCGGTGCTCACTTTCCCGAAGGGAATTTGCCTTTGACTTGCGTGGGGCACGTTGTGGTGTCGTGCACCGCGCTGTTGCACCACAAGCAGCATCGGTACTTAGTGTGGGTGCGGTACACGCCTTCCGAGATATTGTAATGTGTCCAAGGCTCTTGAGCCGCTGGTCCGGCCCCAGGGGGTGAATTGGTGTGTGTCTTCGGTTTGCCGCGTCCTCGCCCTCTGGCGGGGCGGCCACCATCCCAGGCAGCTGCCAATCTATCTCCTTCATCAGAAGAGGCAGTCTCGTTTGAAGGATCGGTCGCTGTAGTTGTTGCGACCACGACCACTTTCGACCGATGCTGACCTCTGCCTTGGCCCACAGCAGACGAATGACCCAAATTCTTGGCTTCGATGTTCGTCACGATGATCTGCGAGGCTTTATCAAAAAGCTGCTCACTTGTGGTGAGCGTCTCCGCAACTTGCGTCAAGGCGTTCTGCCACGCCGGACAACTCCTCCTGATGAAGAAGTGCTTGATAGCGACAAATGTCGACGGCAAGTTGGGCGTGGATGCCAAGCGTTGGTACTCGGTTATCCAGTCCGTGCTTGGTAGGTCGTTCTGATAGAACCATTGCAGTTTTTCGGTTGCCTGAAGCTCAGGCGGCTCCACTTGGAACCGCTTATGCCATGCTGCCTTGAGATCAGCCCAGCTGATCTTCGTATGCAGCTCGGAGACTGCGACGTTGTGCGTGGACAACATGTTATCCAGCCATGCCTGACACGCGCCCCCTGAGCGGGAGTATAAGTATGCGTGCCGGTTTGGGTTGATGACGTGGTGAATGTCCAACTTCAACTCGAACTGGCGCCACCATGGGATCGGGTCTGTCGTCGTTGCATCGCAGCAGATCAGCAGGCCGTCAAACTTTGGGATGCTCTCGCGAGTAGTCGCGGTCGGACTGGCTGAGGCGACACAAATCTGCTGGTCAATCCGCTGATTTGTCGCTAGAGCGCCGTCCTTGAGAGTCTCGACGTCAATTTCCAAGACGTTGACGCGGTCCGTCAAGTTGGAGGCTCCAGCGGGGGTGGCTGTTGTGGGCTGCTGTTCCAGCTGGCGTACCTGGTCAAGCAGTTCGTCGATAAGTCGAGTGTTACATGCCCAGTTGGGCAATGTACATAGAAACCGAGGATCCGCAATGTGATGAAAAGGACTGAATGGACAATGCAGTGCAAGTAGAATCTCAACAAACAAGGTGCATTCTAATACATACAAGATGGTGCTGAATAGTGTAGGGAAGATTTTGATACAAATCCTGACCTGACCGGGACTGACCTCATTCACATAGTATCAGATAGCGAAGCAGAATGCTAGAATGCTAATGACTAGCCCAATCAATGTTTGAACGCAGACCAAACATACATCGTAGCCATCACCAGGTGTGAAGGAGCCTGGCGCTGTACACAGGAAGAAAGCGCCAGGTCCATACATACACAGATGAAGAGGAGGGAATCAGACGAAGAGGAGAGGGAGAGATGAGAATGTCGTCAACACCAAGTCTTTGTCACAAGTCCCAGATAATCCCTCGTTGCAATGTCTGAAGTCCAAAAGTCGAGTCTGGATCCAATGTCACCAAGCTCTTTCTCTCTTCTCTCGTAATCTGCAGATGCAGTGAAGTCAGATGATGAGAGGGTGAGAGGGAGATGGTGGACTGAGAAGAGGAAGAAGAAGAACTCTCTCTCTCTGTTACAAGTCAGGAACTAACCTGTGATGTTGGCGCTGTGCTGCAGATACCTCGAAGACGAAGTTGAAGCAACGGCGCTGCAGGTAAGTACCTCTGGCCTCCACCCAATCTCTCTCTCTCTAGTGCTATCCTAGCTATGGCGCCCAGCGCTGAAAACTACAGCTATCTACTGCGCCCAGCGCCGAAGACTAAAGGTTAACGCTACTACTACTCCTGCAGCGCTCCCTCCAGAGTGTTGTGGCTGAATCCTGAAGACTACTACTGCCTCCTGCCTGCCCGTGAAGTGCATGGGAAGTCCCTATGTACTACCTCAGCCTGCCTCCTGACTGCCTGAAGGGCGAGCCAGGCCGAGGAGGCTGCTCTTGCCAATGCCGAAGTGTGCCTGGGGCTGGCTGCAACAACTGGTGAGGCTGGCGTGGAGAACTGGCTAAGAATAGCCTGTTCCCGAAACCCTGGTTCGGTGCCTGAGTTTCAGGGTCGGTCGTTCTGATGAACGACCGAAAATGGCCCTTCGTTTCTGGCTAAAAAGGTTATTGCCATTCTTAGTCTGAAGCGACACAAGGACTGTAGGCCCCTGTTTTCAGGCTTTCGGGCTGAACAGTTACGGGGCCTGTGGGCCCTGGTTTTCAGGCTTTCAGCCTGAGGGACGCAGGGCCTGGAAAATGGCCCTCGTGTGCAGGCGCAGCATGTAACACCCCCCTCTCCTTATAAAGTCAAGCCGGGGCGAGGGCGAAGCCAACGATCTGAAGGTGGAACCTGGACGCGGGCGCGGCGTGGAGCCGAAGAAACCGGCTTGCCTTGCATCTTGTGTTCATGGCGTGCGAGGACGCCTGGAACTGTTGCTTGAAGTTCCGCACGGGTCAACCAACAGTCAGCTCGGTGTGTGCAGTATGCAAAATGCACTAAGTACTCGGTTGGCCTGTTGTCGTAGCGTCACTGGGAGATGATGTCGCCGACCTCCCGAAAGCCATCCATGGAGGGTGGGTCTTGCGAACGTCTCCCGGGAAAATCGTCATGTTCCGCTGGCGTGTAAAGAGCCAACTTGGAGCAATGAAAGACTGGGTAGACGGGCAAGTGGGCGGGCACCTGAATCGTGAAGGAAGGTCCCTCAAGTGCGTCCCCAACGGGTGCCACGATCGGCCAAGGCCCCATCCATTTCGGGAGGAGCTTGCGAGAGATGTCTTGTTCAAGGCTGAATTCCGTTGCGGAAACCCATACGAGGCCGCTGGCACGGAATGGGCAAGGAAGACGCTGACGATTTGCCTGCTGGCTCATGCGCTGCTGCGTCTTAGCCATCTGGTCGCGTGCCTTGACAAGAAGCTCTTGCATCCGACGCAAGAAAAGACGATGGTCGTCGCTCTCGGCCGTCCGTGGAGTAATAGTGTCCAACTGTGAAGTGACCGGCGAGCCGTGCTCGAACTCGAAAGGATATATCCCGATAGCTGGGTGGATGGAAGAGTTGTAGGCCAACTCGACATCCGGCAGCCGCTCAACCCAGTCCTTCTGGTCAGGACGAATGAGAGTGCGAAGGAGAACCTGTGCGGTCTGGTGCGCCCTCTCCGTCTGGCCATCGGTCTGAGGGTGGCGAGTTGAACTGGGCTTGAGAGATGAGCCCCATCGCTGGATGAGCACCAACCAAAAATCAGACATGAACCGGGTGTCGCGGTCGCAGACGATTTCCTTGGGGTAACCCTTGGTTCGAATCCAACCGGCGTAGAGAACCTCGACCAACTGCGGTGCCTTGGCATGATAGCGACAAGGCAAAAACATGGCGAACTTGGTGAGTCGGTCGACCACCGTGAGAATCCCATCCATTCCGGTCTTGTGCTTGGGGAACGGGCCGGTAATGTCCATGGCAATCGCTTCCCTTCGCCTCAACAGGACCGATAATGGTCGTAACTCGCCGTACGGACGATGGTTGCGGGATTTGTAGCATCGGCAAACCTCGCATGACTCGCAATAGCGCGTGACGTCGCCGAGAAGGCCGGGCCACCAAAATCGCTCACGAAGTCGACCAATCGTGCGATTGACTCCAAAGTGTCCGATGGCGGGAGCATCGTGGAACTCGCCAAGAAGCCGTGTACGCAAGTGAGGATCACTCGGTGAGCAAAGGAGGTCCTTCCCCCTCGTGTGGACAAGCAAGTACCCCTCTTGGATCCGGTAGTGAGAAGGCACCGGATTAGGAGAGGAGCAATTTGCGTACTTGTCACGAAAATCGGGGTCGGCTTGGTAGCCGCGGATAAAGTTGTTCCGCGAGTCATCGTCGATCTCGAAGGTTGAGTAGACAGCGGTACATCGCCGTGAAAGAGCATCCACAAAACAGTTCGACTTTCCGGGAATGTGATCGGGAAAGAAGTCGAACTGGTCGATGAAAGCCATCCATCGAGCGATGGTGCTGTTGACGGTGTCTTGGGTCTTGTAAAAGACCAACGGATTGTTGGCTTCGACCAAGGAGGAAGTGCCGCCACCGCTTGAGCGCGTGGACGAAGGCGAGGAGCTCCTTCTTGCGTGCATCGTCAATGGAATGCACGACGGGCACTTTCTTGCTGAAGTACTCGACTGGATGCCAGTCCACCCCATCATGTTGCTCGAGGACTGCACCAATGCCATAGCCTGACGCATCCGTCATGACGCGCGTAGGCAAAAGCGGGTCGTATATCCGCAAGACCTCCGCAGACAATAGCGTGGCTTTGAGAGCCAAAAATGATTCCCGCGCCTCCTCCCCGAAGTCAAACGGCCAATCCTCGCATTGAAGCTTGGTCAAGTGTGCCGCGATCTTCGAGTAGCCTTTGATGAAATGCTAATAATAGCCGGCGAGACCGAGGAACGAGCGGACATCCATGATGTTCCGAGGCTCCGGCCACTCTTGGATGGCTTAAATCTTGTCCGATAGCGGACTGATGCCCTCCGGTGTGACAAAATAACCCAAGTGTTCCAACTCTTGCCGGACAAATTCGCACTTGTCGCGGTTGGCCTTGTACTTGGCGCGGCGTAGCGTCTCCAACACTCGTCGAAGATGCCCAAGATGATCCTCCAATGACCGACTATAGACGAGAATATCGTCTAAGTAGACCAGCACGAACCGGTCCAACATTGCACGGAACTCATTGGTCATTGCCGCTTGAAAGGTCGTCGGGGCGTTGGTGAGGCCAAAAGGCATGACCACCCACTCAACATGACCGTACAACGTCTTGAACGCAGACTTGTAGCGATCGTTCAGCCGGATCGATGTTTGATGATATCCCAATTTCAAATCCAACTTAGAAAAATACTTTGCGCCGCCCAGTTACTCAAGAAGATCGTCGATGCGAGGGAGAGGCCCCGCATTCTTGACGGTTTGCGCGTTGAGCTTGCGATAGTCGATACACAATCGTAGATCCTTGTTCTTCTTCCGGACAAAGAGAACCGGGGCTCCATATGGGGAGCTGCTAGGGCGGTGTCGCGCGCATCGGTCCCGCACGGGGACCCTCCCGGTCGCGTCACGCAGGATTTTGCAGGACTTGTCGTGGAGAGCGTTTGTCGCTCCGGCCGAGTGTGCCAGCCGTACGTCTCGCTAGCCCCTACGACAGGACAGGGTCACGCGAGGCACCGCTTACCTCCACCTACGGGAGCTGTCACCATCCCTTAGGTGGGCGTATCCCCGCCGAGCTACTGAACCACGTGTGAAGGCTTTTTGTACGCAATTGCAGAGGTGGCCCAGCCAAGGGCGTTTCTCGTTCGCTGTAGCATATGGGGTACGCGCGGTCGAACGCCCAAAAATCGGACCCGAACGCGAATCGACGCACTGGGGGCTGAGGTCCCAAACGCGACTCGACGGCGGTCGACTAGGACGCATCACACACACCACACGTTACACCACAACACTCGCACACATATAAAACCAAATGACGCAACAACGCCACCACAAACAACACTACAACACTCCAACACTCCTAGTCCCTTCAGTATCCAACCCATAACTTTTTGCAGCGAGAATCAGATAGGTATCGCGCGCTGGACTTTCGTATAAGAGTCGCGCGAGCGCATGGCCTCCTCATATCGACCAGCCATGCGGGCATGTGCGAGCATTTGCACTGATGGAGTGCTAGGTAGTACTCGTTACCGCGCGACCCTTGATAATCTCGAGGGTCGTGTTCGACACTCAAGTGTCGGCTGACAAGCGCGTTGAGGAGTTACCCTCTCGATGCTAGACAACCGCCATGCGCGGTTGAAGACCACACCCTCTTCTGCACCCTGTGCAGAGGGGTTGAGTAGACAGATTCAGGGTTGTCGTCGTAGCCAAAAATAGAGGGGTTTGACTTTGACGGCTGCTACGGACTACAACGTTCAACTATGAAAACTCAAAGGAGGAAGCAAACGCAGATAGAGAAAAAGGCTCACCCCCTTTTCCCTCTCTGCCTAGCCCATATTCCAACTTGTAATACCTGATAGGCCTTATCAATTGGAAGAGGCAGGTCAGTACGAAAGATGCGCGTGGATAATACCCAAATCAGACCCATGAGCAAACCGATGTTCGAAACATCGGGAGCTCGAATGCGGGATCCCCATAGGCCGCCTGGGGCTAGTACTCCGTCCGCGCGTCGCTTCGCTTTACCGAAACTCGGGTCTACTTACCACCACATGCTTTTGTCCTTTCTGCTTAACCCATAACTTTCCAAGGCGGAAATCGGTAAATGTTGCGCCCGGGGTTTAGTATAAAACCGTGCGGACGCAGGACTTACACATACCGACCGACAATGCAGTCCTACGTAAGCAGTCGCGATGACGGCGCGTTATGTGGTAACCATAATCAAGTGGCCTTATTCGAGCCATGGGGCCACCCTCGACGCTCGGGCGTCGGCTGAAGCGCGCGCTAAGGGGGGTAAACCTTTAGCGAGCGCAAAGCCGGCCTGAGGGCCTTACCGTCTTCTGCACCCTGAGGTGCCCCAAAGGGTGCGGGGTAAGATGGTCCCTAGGGCAGGACGGAATTCGGAGCGGTGGTGAGTTGTCTGGCGCATCACCAGCGACCCGCTAAACACTTTGCCCGGAACTTTATCGTTCAACCAAAATAAATTAAAACAAGGAAAAAGAAAAAGAACATTTTAGCAAAAGAAAACATGAACACCCCACCGGACCAACTAGCTGGGGGATAGCCCCTCAACCTCGCAGCGCTTCTATCTCCCAGGTACTGCGCCGTGCAGGCAAGCAAATCAGCCTCCGTGCGAGGGGTGATCCCTTCCGCGCTGAGCCTAGGGCCTGGGACGTCCTGGACAAGGATCTCGAATTCCGGGCTCGTGATTGACGTCCGACCAACTAAAACAACGAGAAAAAAAAACAGCGTAAGCACATGGCCGCATCGCCCCGTGAGGGTTATCCGAACATATGCCTACTTTACTTATCACAATATCAAAGCGAAAAAAAGGACAATCACAGTCAACACAAAGAGTTGCATGGTAGTTCACTCTCACGACAGTTGTGTGGGTTGCCTATCTGGATTCACAACATAATCATTTAACATACCTGCAATCATACGCACAACATTCAAACAACATCACACACACTAAAGGGGTAAACTTTTCAGCCTACTGCAGCTCACACCCTGCCTCATGCACACAAGCCCAACCATTTCCCCACCTTTCCTCAACAAAAAAATACTCAGTCTTTAAGAAATGGCCATTTGTAAAGAATCTGGGTGAAAGCCCAAGAAAACATAAAAACCCAGCAAGGGCCAAGGCTTTAGGTTGAGAGGCAGAAGAAAAAAGGAAAGTTGAGTCGTGAACCGACGAATCGGCAACCGACCTATTATCAATGACAACAGAAGAGTGACCCTTTTGAAGGACCAGGCTTATCAGATCAATCCTTCAAGCGAAATACGGAAACCTGCATCACAGTACAACCCAAAAGAACCACTACTATGTTCATGCCGAAAGGAGAATACTCCCTAAGTCGTAACCTAGCTCCTCTACTAGTAGCAAGTCACTGAACATCTCCCCTATCCAGGATGGATCTGCCAGGTAGTTCGTAGCTGAAAGTATTCTAGCTCTTCAAATTCTACGAAATTTCGGCAGCGCTTCCCATAGGAAAAGTGCCTTTCCAGAATTTCTATGAGTCCAGAAACGATCAACTCTTTCAGATTTGTAGAAATTTCGACACCGTAGGAACAGGAGGCTGTCAAGATTTATACAAAGCTGAAAAACAGAAAGACAAAGCAAGCTATACTTGGGACTAACTTCTGACACTTGCTCGATAGTTAGGATTGAAGATAGTTTATACGACCCCCTTTCAGAAGATGGTATCGTGAGCTATCGTCAACTCTAACTTTTAAATAAGGTCAGTCCTATCTTTTATCCCAAGCTCTCCCTCCCGTCATACATCTCATCTATCTATGGCTCCAGCACTTGGCGAGCATCTAAACAGCTAACCTATCAAAAAGACACCCCAAAGTGAGACCCTACAAGCATGCATAAACAAATATCTCTCACAATCCCACATCAGTTTGACCCAAGTAGTTCGTTACATCTCTCAATTTTTTTCCCCTTTAAGTCCGCCTTTTCCATGGCATACGACCAGACTCACCCTAATAAAATGGTGTATTTGATCTGCCTAAATAACAGATAAGGTAAGCACAACTGGACTGCCCTAACCCTAGGGTGTGTCCAACATAACATGAACTGTATACGTAATGCATATGACCAGACCGCCCTAACCCTAGGGCATGTCCGGTTTCTGCCAAACTAACGACATGAAGCATAGGATCGGGCTGCCCTAACCCTAGGGTGTGCCCAACCTGCGCTATACAAAGTTACATATGGCATAACATTAGACCAGGCCTACCCAGGGGTAGGCCTAACTTGCCTGAACATAAGTACAAACGACAAAAAGTTGGACCGCCCTACCCTAGGGTACGTCCAACTCACATCACATCAACGACAAAAGCATATCACTAGGCCGCCCTAACCCTAGGGTACACCTAGTCAGCCATACAACAGTTAATATGATACGAATACTTGCACATACTTTAAGCTTTTCCTTCTCTTGTTAGGCAGTCGATCGGACCTTTTCAACTAATGGAACTTCCTATCCGCCCTCTTTGATTAGAAGGGAAAATAAAAACAAATTTATACTAACTTTCTGCTCCTTGGTGTTATTATGAGCATACAACTGAGCCGCCCTAACCCTAGGGTACATTTAGCCTGCCCAGTTACCTTCTTGTTATTCTTTATCTATTTCCTTTTCTTCCTTAGTTCTACCTGACTCCCTGATTGGCTTTCCCTACCCAGGGTGCCCGGTCTGTCAGAAGTACAAGTTCAAATAATATATGTATCAAATTTTATACTCTGGTTGACCAGTTAATTCATAGCTCGCGGCTAAGCCGCCCTAACCCTAGGGTACGCTTAGTCTTATGCCTTTGTTCCCTCAGACAAACATGCACCTCAACCCATTAAAAGAAACACCAGGACTCTGAGCCTTCCCTGCCAAGGGCGCCCGTCCTCCTGTTCAGGAACCCCCAAAAAAAACCGCGACTGATCCATCCTACCCGGGTAGGACCATCCATAAAAGTCATTCACACAGCCCAGCAAACACCAATAAAACATAGCACTGGACCCACATCCACCCAGAGGGGCCCAACCTTCA